AATTGTAGCACTTCTTCCTCATCCCCAACCAATACAATTTCCAGCCCCCTCATGTGATTTCTGCCATCTATCAAAAAGCCACACACACACACACACACACACACACACACACACACAGGGATGAACACCAGAAACGTGGGTGAAGGGAGGCAGTGGTTAGTGTAAGATATGAAAACAATAATTATCATTTATCAAGGGGTCATGAGAGAAGGAGAAGGGGTAGGTGGGGGGGGAGGAGAAAAAAGAGGAACTGATACCAAGGGCTCAAATAGAAAGTGAATGCTTAGAAAATGATGGTGGCAACATATGTACAAATATGCTTGATACAATTGATGTATGGAATGCTATAAGAGCTGTAAGAGCACCAAAATAAAATGATTAAAAAATAAAAGCCCTTCACAATGGGGGTCCTTTTCCCTGATATCACCATAGCTGGTCTGATGGAAACATTTGAAAGCAAGGACCCCCTGGCAACGAGAAGGAGGGAAAAAGGTGAGGGTGCCCTGGTTTGCTGTTCCATGCAGCCTAGGAAAGGACTGGCTTTTGAAAGTTTCTGTCATGCCATGCACCTATTCAGAGCCTTCCTAGAAGGTGTGGTCCACAGAGCCTGAGAGGATCCTGGGTCTGTAGACCACTATCAAATCAAAGCTGCTCTGCCGGTGGAGCAGCACAAGGGGGCCGGCATCATCTACCAAGAAGGCATTCCAAGAAAGGCAAGAGTCTTCAGATGATGACCTTTATTAAGTGGAGTATTATCTTACTGGTGTACACACACACACACACACTGACACACACTGCCATCTAATCAATTCTGACGCACAGCAATCCGATCGGACTGAGTAAAACTGCCCCTGTGGCGTTCGGTGATTATAACTCTTTACAGGAGTAGAAAGTCTCATCTCTCTCCCTGGTGGATTTGAACCACCTTGAGGTTAGCAGCCCCACATGGAACCCACTATGCCACCAAGCTGATATGCAGGCTTGGCCAAAATAAACATACTGACAAGCAAAGAGGGTAGCTGGTGTTCTTGACAGCAGCTATTGCTGCGTGTCTTGATCTCATAAGGGCTTGGTGTCCTATTGGCAGGACTCTCCCCGACTATTCTTTAATCCAAGGGCAGGGGAGACAAAAGGTAAAGAAATACGTCAGATGACTCGCCTCTACTTAAATTGCAGCCCTTTCTTATAGGACGGGATAAGATATGCTGGCATCCCTCATTCCAAAAGTGAATCATAGCCACACACCCATGCACAGTAATGATTCTACAGATTTTTTTAGAAAATCACTTTATTGGGGGCTCTTACAGCACTTATAACATTCCATACATCAATTATATCAAGCATATGTGTACATATGTTGCCATCATCATTTTCTAAGCATTTACTTTGTATTTGAGCCCATGGTATCAGCTCCTCTTTTTTCCCTACCTGCCTCCCGCCACTCCTCCCCTGTTGAACCCTTGATAAGTGATAAAGTATTATTGTTTTCATATCTTACAAAAACCACTATCTCCCTTCGCCCATGTTTCCATTGCTCACCCCCTGGTGGGGGTGGGGGAGCGACTATGCATCCTCATTGCAGTCAGTCCCCCCCCACCCCGGTATAGTTACTCCTATTTCTGTTACGGAGGGACTTATCTGACCTGGATTCCATGTGTTGTGAGCTCTTATCTGTACCAGTGTACATGCTACAGATTTGTATACATGTCTTTTTCCTAGTGTTGAAGAAGATTAGAATACACAGCATTGGATACAAATGCATATTGAAAATATGTCATTTCTGTATTGCAGTGTCCTGGCGGGTTACAATGGTACCATCTTTGCGTACGGACAAACGGGCAGTGGTAAGACCTTCACCATCACCGGCGGGGCAGAGCATTACAGCGACAGAGGCATCATCCCAAGGACACTATCCTACATTTTTGAGCAGTTACACAAGGTATGAAACTTTAATTTGTACATTTGGTCCATCCAGCAGAAATGTACTAGAGAGAGAAAATGTATCATGCTATTTTATTATAGAGTACCTGTAATAAAAGTATATCATTGGGTGATAACTCTGGCCTGTAGGCTTAAGGGAAGTTTGAGATTTTGCTGAAGAAGTAGAAATTAAGAAGGTGCTTCTCGTTAAGAGCTGCTGTTCCAGCAAAGGTCAAGGGGAGTTCCTTGCGGTACACCCACGGAGGGTAAAAGGGCAAACCACATCTTTTATCAGCTTGTATCTTAGGCTCTTCGTCAAGAAACGGAGGAATTTTCCAAGCACATCTTCCTTTTAGCTATGAAAGCACTAAGCAGGATAAAGTGATGGTTCTCTTTACATACTTTCACTAGGAGTCCAGAGGAATTAATTCCCAGAGGAAAAGTCCTCCTGAAATCAGTATTCCTAGAAAGCGGAGTCCCATAGCTATTTACATGCGTCACTGGTTGAGTGCCTCCAAGTACCTGCTGCTTGGTTATGATTTCCTAGAGCACTTAGTGCAACTAACATGGTGGGGACACTTGTCTCCATTTCATAGGTGGGAAAAAGTGAGTGTCAAGTTCAGGATCCAGTACCAGCTGTGGAGTACCAGCCCAAGTCCATCTGGGGACAAGCCCGTGTTGCCACTGGGCACACAGGCCCTGTGTCTCAGACTGGCTCCTTTTTCTTGGTTGCATTTAAACCAATTCTCTACAAGAAGCCACTGACCTCCCCTGGGCTTTCATTTGCCCCTCTGAGCAATCTTGGATAGGATTCGACTTGGGGCTCCCCAGAGTCCCCACCAATTCTCACAATCCCTTGCTTGGGTTAACCCTGTGTAGCAAATGTGCAAACGAAGCCAGTGTAACAGCCACACCAGACTTGCTTGTCTGTGTCCTGTTTGCATTTTGAGATGGAAAAGAAAGGAGAGGAAATCGCTGAGATCTGCAGACTTCTATTTCCCATCCATAAAGTAGTAATTAGCCATTAGTTCAGCTCATCTCTCCCTGGCTCAGCCACGCCAGACCTGCATGCCAGCAAGTTCGTCAAAGACAGAATTGAATGTAGTGTGTGTGTGCATTGGCTCCTATATCCTTCTTTCATTTACTCATTTACTTTTGAAAGTATCTGTTTCGTTTCATTCCCAGATCCCACAAACAGGGAATATGGTTTTCAATTGGGCTCTTTTTTGGCTGTGGGGGATGAATGTGGCACGCTGGTTGAAGTTGGTGCAGGCCAGCCTGGGTCTGAGATGGTGTGCTCCTGACAGCATGTGGCATAGGGGCAGCTACTTCATGCCTCAACCTTGTGGGACTGCAATGAGGCCTGAACACGCCACTTTTGAAGATGCTGTCCACTCTCCTGGTATACAGCAGATGCTCAATCCACAGTCATCACCATGCACATACCTGCTGCATACGGCCAAATGCCCACTAACCAATTTCAGAAAATCCTCCGTACTTCTCAGAACAAACGAGGGCAGCTTCCTCAGTGCAGTTTAACTGTATAAGCCAGTCCTTTCTCAGTGAAAAAGGATTTTACTCATCTCTTTTAAAAATTCATCTATGGGTAGTGACATTCGGTCCTGAAAGTCAAAATGTCTATGGTAGCTACCATCTGGTAGGTTCATTGTTTCTCATCTGTGTGTCAAGGGCGTTACTCTCAACCCCATTTCATTCTGAATGGTACTAAATAACTTCCTGGTCTTGGAGGGAGCCCATCAAACCGATTGGTAGCCTGGGCAGCCCTTCATAAATGGACAGGTTTCCATGCTGGGACACAACACATCCAGTATCATCAGACTGAGCTGTGATGCAAGTCAGAAGCACCTTCAGGTGCATCACAGAGTCTGCCCCTGTGGAGGACGACTGAAGAATGCAGACCACAACTCAAAGGCTCTCAGCTGATGACCTTGGAGGGCCACATGGAGTGCTCTAGAATTCTGAAAGGCACATGTGACGCATGCAAGCGTTTACTTGAAGATAAACTCAGAGCCTAGTGCACTCTGGTCCTGAAATGCATGTAAGCGCGTCTGAGAGGGGCTCATTTTCAACGATTTGAAGAGAAGGAAACTGATTCCATTTATTTTAGAAATCACTGCTCATTACTTTGGAGTACTGTGAGGTTCAAACTTGTTTGGGGGCAGGAGAAAGGGCTGTCTGCAGGAGACATGTGTGTTACATTACAGTCTGGCAATCCTAAACACTAAAAAAGTAATAAGAAGGAAAGGTAGTTTTGCCACATAGCTCAGTGAATTTTAAGTGTGTCTTCCAATAAAATATTTTTTTAAGTCCAGAAAATGCAAGAATGGGGGCTTTGGAGGGGGTGGGAGCCAAAGGTATTACTCCCATCTTTTCTGAGTAGTGAACCTACCATTTCCCGAGCTTTTATGATTTCTTCTAATTTCTTGGAGAAGAGAGTCTCTCCATGGCAGACGAACACACAAGTTGGCTCTACTTTCTGCCTTTGTTTTACGGTCGATAGTCACAAACTTAATGCTCCATCTGTGGGCTTTTAGAAGTAATATTAAATAAAAGCTGTAATAATAGCACCAACCTGACAACCACCAGGTTTGTGGCTGCCTCTCATGGGCCACACATTTTTCTGTTGTTTTGTTTCTTTTTTTTTTTTAATCATTTTATTAGGGGCTCATAAAACTCTCATCACCATCCATACATACATCAATTGTGTAAAGCACATTTGTACATTCATTGCCCTCATCATTCGCAAAAGATTTGTTCTCCACTTAAGCCCCTG